GCCTGGATTCCATCCACAGTGCTGCATAAAAATAAATAAATAAAATAAAATTATTGTGTCCAACTACTTCTAAAAAATAAATATTAAAAAAAAAACATAGTTGTGTGTTTGGTACTGGTGGTAGGGGTAGCCCTTGTAAGTGAATGGCCCCAAATACCACGGGTCCTCTGTCTTGGTGTAGGATTTGGGCTGTGTCTAAGTGGTTTTTCTGACTTTAGGTCCGAAGTCACAGCTTGCCTTGAGGTGATCACATAGTCTCTACATTCATATCAAAATCTTTGTGTATAAAATGTGGAAATAGTAATGTCTGCTTGGGGTAATTTAGCAAGGGAGACCAGATCTCAGGCCTGCTGGGTTGCTATAGAATAAAGCAAGACAGTATCAAAGTCAGGAGCAGAGGCAGGGCCCCAGGGTTCTGTGAGAGCTGAGATCTAGTCCAATTTGAGACTTTGCAGCAACATCTTAGTGTAGCATAGGAGTGTGAGCAAACCCCCCTACCCGCCTTAGTTCTTATGTGTGCTCCTTGGCTGGCTCTAGGAACCCACTCAATGTGACAGCTTGATTGACAAGACAAAAGCATGAAAGTTAAATCTACACGTACACGGGGATCTTCACAAGAGAGCGATGTCTGAAGAAATTACCACAGCGTGCTGCTTTTATACTTTTTAGTCAAAGAACAATACATCTGTGATGACAGGACAAATAGATATGGGGCTCAGGCCCCACAAATTCTAGGGATATTACTAGTATTACCAGGAGATGGCTGGGGTAGAAGTCAGTGGAAGAGACGGGCTACGTCGAAGCTTTATTCAGGTTCGCCGCAGCCCCATTACCAGTCTGTTTTCCAGGATTGGTGTGGAGAACATCCCTCCCCAAAAACTCTTTACAGCAGGCTGCATGTAGAGAAAGTCACACCAAATGGCCCCTTTTGAGTTATAGTTCCTCATCTGATTTCAGCTGGGAAATATCAATGTGCCAATTCAGCATATTTTGCCTTAACTCTTAGTAGGATTGTCCCATGGATCCTCATATTGTCACATGATGTCTAGGCAGCCAAGAGTTAGCATGAAGCAATGTCTTGTAGGGTCACCTCTTCTCGTCACAGCTATCCCCGTGCAGTGGGGATAGCTAAGTGTCTTGAGGTGTCTGTGATCTAAGACCAGAGGAGGAAAACCATGTCTCATGTTTGTTCCATCTCTTTTCTCTCTGAACAGTTCTTTGAGTTCCAATTGTGTAACAAGCCTCTTGTTTGTGGTACCCTAATGAGTGAATCCCAGGCACCACCCAGGCTGGATGGAGGGTGTACTGAGAGAGCTATCTGCTAACAGGTGGTTAGGTGAAGAGCTGCCTCTGAGGTATCCGAAGCACTTTGTGGGTTGTGATGTTTGTGGTCAACCTCAGACACTGGGCTTCCCTGACTCACAACCTGCCTCATCTCTGAGATGTGAAGACAGCACCCACCTTTCCTGTCTCTGGAGAGTGAAGTGAGGTAACACTGAGACGTATGGGGAAACTCAGTGTCTGAAGATTGACCCCGCAGGTCCCCAGCAGTGTGTGGTGCAAGATGGTGGGTCAGCCAGGGCTCAGGGTTCAGTATGCAGCTGTGAATTTCAGATTTGCCTTCCTTAGACCAGTATAACTAAGTCCTTTTAACCATGACCCAGACTTTCTTCTCTCATAATAAGTCTGTCACTGGAGTTGAGTGAATGCCAGTTGAGTGAATTCTAGTTATTTCTCTTGCTAACTGTGTGAGCTTAACGAGATTACCTAACCAATCTGAGTCCCAGGTTTATCACCTGTAAAATGAATATAGTAGTACATATTTCATAGAGTATCTATGAGGATTAAAGGAGATAGTTTGGATAGAGTTCCTGGCACACAGTGACTACTGTAAAATCTGTCATTATCAGGACTGGATAAGAAATCCTAGAAAGGTCACTGAGAATCAGTAAATCCGTATAAGGTTCCTCCCAGGCCATTTCTGTGGTTGGTTGTGCTATGGTTGCAGTCATATGGATCCACATAGAACACAGGGTGGTTGAGAGACAATAGAATGTCATATTTTCACTTGTGATGAGTAATGCAGGTACTTGATACTGAATATCAGCATATTATGTTAAAATACTGGAATACTATATAGCCTTAAAAAGGAAGGGAATTCTGACATTTGCTGTCACATGGATGACCCTTGAGGATGTTATGCTGAGTGAAATAAACCAAACACAAACACACAAAAACCATACGATTCCACTTGTATGAGGTTTTTAAGAGTAGTCAAATGTATAGAACAGAAAGTATAAGCATGGTTACCTGGGGTGGAGGAGGAACAAGGAGGTATTATTTAATTATGCAGAGTTTCAGTTTTTCAAGATGAAAAGAGTTCTGGAGATGGTTTGTGAATATACTTAACAGAAGTGAAGCGTACATTTGAAAACTGTTAAGATAGTAAATTTAGGTGTATTTTAGCATAATTTAAAAAATAAAATTAAAAACTCTTTATCAAGCATGTACCTGTCGTGTTCCTCATGACTGAAACACTCAGGGTCACTCCAGATGAACTGGGCTGCACGAAATAATCACACAAGAGACAGAGGAACCTTTTTCTTTGGGTCCTGTGATGGCTTCTCTGACCTTAAGGCACATGCTGACCCCTTTTATGGAGGAGAAGCCATTCAAATGAGGCCAGGGGTCAGGTTTAAGGGGTTTGAGTCTAGCTTCACATGTCTGCTGTCAGCAGATTACTGACATCTAGAAAGGCTACACCCTAAGGCAGAGCAAAAGAAGGGGACACACAAAGGGCGTTTCCATGGAACATTTTATCCCAAACAGGGCAAAGGGGGTAGTATTACAAAAGAATAGGTGAGTGTAGCTCAACCTCATGGGTGACACACTTACACCTGCAGACACACCTTCTACTTCCCAGGCTGGGACAATGCCCAAGTCACCACAAAATGTAGTGATTGGTCAGAGCCTCTTGCTTCAGAACTGGAAGGCGTGGGTCATTCAGAGTGGCTCCCCACATGTACTAAGTGTCAGGCATCGTACCAGGCACCAAGAGAGCCAATGTCAAAACCACCATCGTGCCTGTCTCCCTTTACTGAATTTATAGACTGGCAGGGGAAACGCATATTGAACAAGGACTTGACCTGGTCAGGAAGGACAGAGGAGGCCAAGAGTAGAGGTGAGACATAGTAGGGAACACTCCAGAGAGAGAGAGAGAGCAGCATGTGCACAGGGCTCAGGGAGGGCCACGGGAAGGGTATTGTCTGTCTGTGAGCAGAATGGACAGCCACTGAGGGTTTTGGACAGAAAGTGGAGAGAGACAGGCAGAAGAGCAGGTTTGTGCTCTAACAGTCACTTGGGAGGGATGGTCTTTCTTACATGGATGGATCCTTCCAAACTCTGACAGTTTTTCTTAACTGGGCCCTTACAGTAGTTCCCATCCTGGTGTTTGCAAATCCCTGGCAAGAAGACCCAGGAGACCCACATCCCTTCAGCTGAAATAGTCACAGATTATGATCCAGCTGACTAACTACTACCAATATATTCCATCCTCCTACCCCGAAAAGCATGTCTCTGTAAGTGAACTGTCATAGAAAGAAAGGCTTTCTTTTTTTTTTAATGACTGAGAGTAAAAAAAAGTATCAAAGATGATTGAATTTGACTATAATTGCAGCCTGTTGGTTCTCTTGGGCCGTTGAGAATTGGATGAGTATAAGATATTTATAATTAATAAATCATTTCCTATAGCATTTTTTGCCTTCATTATAGCAAGATCAATAATTATGCTCTGATTAATATTTTAACATAATTTGTGTTCTTTTGACAGAAATTCTGAGTTAGACTTCTCTTTCTGATAAGAGCTTATTGAATACAATTTGTATACTATAAAATTCATCTATTTTAAGTGTATGATTTGAGTCATTCTAGTCTTGAGATAGTTTCTCCTTCATTTGAACTTGAGGAAACTGTCCTAATATAGGTACACCAGCCCTGAACCTTTAAGAAAATTCTTAACACTTAGATTTGGAAATGAACCATGAGTAGCTCAAACTAGGTCATGGGATCTCATATGATTAATTTTATCTATCACAGAATATATTAGGAGATACTTTAATTCCATTGTATATCTCTCTATACGTACACTACAGCTTTTATGTATGTATGTATTGGGAGGAGGACTACTAGGGATGGAACCCAGGAGCACTAAAGCACTGAGTCCCATCCCCAGCCCTTTTAAATATTTTATTTACAGACAGGGTCTCACTAAATTGCTTAGGGCCTCACTAAGATGCTGAGGCTGGCTTTGAACTCATGATCCTCCTGCCTCAGCCCCTCAAGCCACTGAGATTACAGGCAGACACCACCACACCCAGCTATGCTATAGCTTTTATCATCTTGCCAAGAAGTATCTCAATCTGATGTAAGTGTGGAGCCTTGGCATCATATTTTCTATATGTCATGACTGAACAGTTTAATACGGTCAAATGTTCCTTGGCTGCTAGGCAGTTCTGAGAACCTTCTGAGCTCCAGATTGGAACGTGAAGAGAAGCAATTGTATAGACACTTGGCACGGGTGGGAAACCAGGCTTCACTGTGCAATGATCAAGCGTATTCATGAGTCTGAAAGGCAGGGACTGGCAAGTTAATCAGCCTTTTCTCTTCTCCAAGTGTTTCTGCTGTTTAAATCCTTCCTGCACGCTGCAGCAGCCTGACCGCCATCACTGTCAATATCAGCAGCAATGAAGCCCTCAAGTGTCCAAGGCTCTCTCACACAGTTATCTGTTGTTTCAAGGACTCAGGGCAAGGACTGAAGGGAGGCATTTCCCTGTGCCCAGGATGGTACTACCCTGCACCCTAGAACTGCACAAGCATTTGACAGGTTCACTTCATTGACCTATCCACTGTGTTAGGGACTCGTACTCCCAAGAGATCCTTTTTCTCTCAGGTGTGGCTTTTGAAGTTAGCTAACTGTGTTCTTCACTTGTTTTGCCTTCTAGGAACTGGTGAAAGTGGGAAGAGTACCTTTATCAAGCAAATGAGAATCATCCATGGGTCTGGATACAGCGATGAAGATAGAAAGGGGTTCACGAAGCTGGTTTACCAAAACATATTCACTGCCATGCAAGCCATGATCAGGGCCATGGACACCCTGCGGATACAGTACGTGTGTGAGCAGAACAAGGTACAGTGCTGGGGGCTTTGGCTCTGTTTGTGAATGTATGCCATCCTACTCTGGTGAGTGGATGTCTTTGAACAAAGGGATTCACCGAGTGCTTTAGTCCGATGCCAAAAGCAGCTCTTGAGCTCACATTTTTGAGATGGAGACACTTGAGAGAAGTAAGATGGACTTCACTCTGTAGCCTAAAGTTCTGTAGAAAAGACCATGGATGATGCTTCTGTGATGCTTTGCAGTGTACAGGGATTCAGAAGGCTGAGCAGTTGTCAAGGTTGCTTATCTCAGGCAGCAGAGAAGGAAGGTGTACACATTTCCTTTTCATCCTTGAGACTTACTTAATTTCTGCAGTGGAAAGTGGAGGAGATACTGGGTTTACAGTGGGCAGCCTTTCAAGAATTTCCAGTCTCTGGAAATATTTTCATGAATACACTGCCGACTCCTCGAAGAAATCAGTGGGGTTTGTTTGTGTGTGTTGGGAATTAGCTCTTCTTGGAAAAAAGAGAGCGTCTACCAGAGCCATGCCAATATCCCAGCTGGCGAAGTGCTAAAGTGCTCTCATGAAGTGGTGGTGTCCATCTGGCTTTTGCTTTCCTGTGGCCACTGGTTATAGAAAATACAAACCTGCTTAAGATCAGAGGAAGGTAATGAGGTGGGAGGGTGGGAGGAGAAGGCAAATAAAGTTTTATGTTGTATATTGGAATGCAAATCCATAGGAAAACAATACTGTGTCTGAGTTCATAAGAATCTAGATTAGAAATAAGAGGTTATTTTAAATAATCAATACCAAGGTATGAGATGATGTGATGAAGAGGAAAATTCTCTTTTTCAAATGGGTCTTTTACAGATCTATTTAAAAAGAATTTAGCAGCTATAATGCCAGAATTGCATGGAGTTTATTTAGTATAACTTGACCATGAACTTGTGGATCCTGCATTTGTGTGTGTGTGTGTGTGTGTGTGTGTGTGTGTACATACACATATACATGACAGAGTTTCAAAGCAATCAAAAAATTACATTTTTATTCCTTGGTGACTGGCTTACATAGGAAAACACAATACACACAAATGTTGGACAGACCTTTACACTATCTCTGCAACTTTGTCTAGCACCATTTTCTTGCAGTCTCAAAATCTCTTGAAGGAAGCTGTCTTCCCTACAGTTTCTACCTTCAACAGTGCTAGTCTGAAAAGTGTGTGAGGTGAATCAGGATAGGTTATATCTGGTGCCAAGGAATGCTAGAGGTGAATGTTAAACCAAGGGGTATATTCTAGAAGTGACTGGGATGATCCCTTTCTCCTTCGCTTTTGAGTACATGCATTTTCTTTTTGAAGGCGTATGCTTCATCCTTATTCACCTTCTATGATATCTTCTAAAAATTAGGCATTCCATGGGGATGAAGATTACTTCAGAGGAGAGTCATGGCAGGAACGACCTTCGGGTGATTTCAGTTCATCTGTTTACCTTGGTGTAAAATGCCTTTTGCTGGCTACTTAGAGTGGGGGCTCTGGGTGAAGCCTGCAACCCAGGGGTGGGTTTGTAACTGAACGCTTGGGAAGAGAAGGCTGAGTGGAAGCCGGTTCTGCCCACCTCAGCTACATGTGTCTGTGAACCTGATGGGATTAGTGACCAAGGCCTCTGGGTTCCTGTCTGTTATGTTTTCCTCCACAGTTTCTAGAGGTACCTTGAGTTTATGTTTTAAACAAAAAGATGTTGTGGGGTTTGACTTTTCACTACTTTCTCCCTTTCTGTTGTTGTTCTTCAATTCTTTCTCCTAAGGTCATCTCCAGTTTTCACTCATCTGCTTCAATGTCCTAGGGACACTGTCCTTGGCTGTCACAAAGGACCTCAAGCTGGGTGACTTAAAAAAAAACATACCCCTCTCCCCGAGTTCAGGATACCACAGATCTAAAATCAAGGTTGGTTGGTTCCAAGGAGAGGCTCTGAGGAAGAACCGATTTCCTGCTTCTCTCCCAGGGTCCAGGGTCTGGTGGTTGCTGGGAATCTGTTGTTTTGTAGGCATGTCACCCCGGTCTCTGCTGCTGTCTTCACACAGCATCCTCCCCCGTGTCTCTGTGTTCATATGGTGTTGTCCTCTCTATGCCGATGTCCAAATTTCCCTCTTCTTATAAGGACATTAGTCATCAGATGAGGGCCCACACTAATCCAGCATGACCTCCTTTTAACTTGGTTACATTTACAAAATGCTGCTTCTAAATAAGGTTATGTTCTGAACTTCAGTGGGCTTGAACGTTAGAGCCAAGGTTGTTCAACCCAGTATGCTCTGCCGTCCAGCTTCCAAGGTTCATATCCACCCTAAATGCAAAATACCGTCACTCCTCCCCAACATCCCTGAAGGTCTTAACCTATTCCAGCATCAACTCTGAGTCCCAAATCGAATCTAAATGTCAACTCAAAAAGCCTCAGATTCCATTGTCTACATCAGGTGTGGGAGAGAATCTGGATATGATCCATACTGGGCAGGATTCCTCTCCATTCACCACCCATGAAACTGGGAAACCAGTCAGCTATACCTCCTGCCTCCTCCTCTTCTACTATATCTGGCTGGTTCCTTCTTCCTTTTTACTTCGAATATCTAGATTAGTGCTCCACAAACTTTCTCTTGCCCTTCAGACAGATGCCTAGGAAGAACTACATGCTGGAATGACTTAGAGAGAGGCAGAAAATTGAATGGAAAGAACACTGGATTGGCTCTCAAAAAACTGGGCTCTGCTCATGGCTCTCTGTGGGTCTAGGGCAGAAGTCAGCAAACTTTTTCTATAAAGGGGCAGAGATGCAATATTTTTGGCTTTGTGGGCTGTCCTGTCTCTGACACAACTAGTTAGCTCTGCTTTTGTAGCATAAAAGCAACCACAGACAATATGTAGAATGTGAACACTTAAGCATGGCTGACTTGTAAACTCTATTTACAAGACATAAAACTAACCCAAAACACACACACACAAACGCGCACACACACACACACAAACACAATAGCAACACAAAAGATATTCCCAACTCACTGACCAAATAGAAATTCATTCAAGCCACAAGCAGATTGTCTGTGGACTGTGGATTGTAGACCCTGGCCCTAGGGGAAGATGGAACCCATTTTTCTATCCCTCAACTATTAAATGCAGATGACATACACAGTGTCTATTTCATAAGGAGATCTAAGCAACAAGGAGTTCCATACAAAATAAATGGTACCCAAGAAATGTTAGGTGATGACTGGACAAGTTGAAAACCAAACATGGACTCATTATTTCTTCTAGTGCTTGTCTCGGCCATTTTCATCCATCTCTTCTCTGTTGTTTTTCTGTGGGGTATTATTGATTCTTATAATTTTCTCTGTGGGCTACTGCTATGGTTTAGATATGAGGTGTCCTCCAAAGGCTCATGGGGGAGACAATGCAAGAAGGTTTAGAGGTGAAATGATTGGGTTATGAGAGCCTTAACCTAAAGTGCATTAATCCCCTGAAAGGGATTAGCTGGATGGTAACTGTAGGCAGGGAGGGTGTGGCTGGGAGAGGAGGTCCCTGTGTCTTTGATGTCTGTATTTTGTGGGTGGTGAGGGGAGCACCTTTTCCTCTGCCTGGTGCTGGCCATGTCCCATGATGCTTTGTTGTACCACACCCTTCTGCCACGATGTTCAGCCTCACCTGGAGCCCCGAGGAATGGAGCTGTCTATCTATGGCTTGAGATCTCTGAAACCCTGAGCCACCAAAGAAACTTTTTCTGAAAACTGTTCTTGCCAAGTCTTTTGGTCACGGCAGCAAAAAACGCTGAATAAAGCAGCAGATTCCATGCTTAGGTCATAAAATAATAATATTATTAACATTTTGGTATAGTCAGTAATTAGTTTAAGAAATATGCTATATGTTAGCTTCTTTACAACGTACTGCATAACCTGAAATAATGGATTAGTTAAGGTGGGGATAATACTGTAGGTGAGCTTAGTGGTAGATTGCTTGCCTAGCCTGCACAAGGAGCTGGATTTGATCACTACCCAACCCCATTCCCCAAAAAATAGAGGGAAAGAAGGATGAACAAAACCTTAATTAGAAAAAAAAACCTTAATTAAGTTTATTTTTCAGCACAGAAATGATTCCCTTGATTCCTTTGGCTGAGTATTTATTTGGATCATCTGCTTTTTGGTGTGTGTGTGTGTGTTTCTTTCATAGCTAGGAACACTTTCTTAAAAGTATATAGGAAAGGGCTGCAGTTGTAGCTCAGTGGTAGAGCACTTGCCTCGCAAGTGTGAGGTGCTTGGTTTGATCCTAGCACCACATAAAAACAAATAAGGCATTGAGCCCATACACAACTAAAAAAAAATATGTGTTTAGAAAAAAAGGAGGGCTGGGGCTATAGCTCAGTGGCAGAGCGCTTGCCTACCACGTGTGAGGCACTGGGTTTGATCCTCAGCACCACATAAAAATAAATAAATAATAAAGGTATTATGTTCAGCTATAACTAAAAAAAATATTAAAAAAAGGATATAGGAAAGAAAAGTTATTTTGAGGGTTTTATTGTAAATAGTAATGAGATCATTACTATTACTGTTGAAATTTTTGTTTATTATTTGAATGATTTCTTATTAGAGAAAATTTGTTGGAAAGGTAGTTTAGTGTTAGTTGGCTTTTAACCAACATTTTCTTTTCAAGAGGAGTGGGAGGGCAAGGGAGGAGGCAGGGGGGTTAGAAATGACGGTAGAATGTGATGGACATCATTATCATAAGTACAGGTATGAAGACACAAATTTGTGTGAATATACTTTGTATACAACCAGAGATATTAAAAATGTGTGCTCTATATGTGTAATATGAATTGTAATACATTCCATTGCCATATATAAATTTAAATTTTTTTTTAAAAAAAGATAGCCTTGATTATTTTCTTATGCCTTGCTGGATTTTTAAAAACAAAAACAACAAAGAAATGATTCATATGTATTCACTCACTCTATTGCTAGGCCTTGATAGGCCTTGATTTTTACGAATGTCTCTGAT